CTCAAGTTTTGAAGTTTGAACTGAACTTATACTTTAAGGAGCAATCCCCTTACCCCAGATCCGTTTCCTTATAGCCCTTCAACTCAGGGAAAGCATACTTCAGCACATGTTCAGATGCCAAGCTGAGGTTAGGTCCAGGTGAGTTATTGCTGTGCCAATGGGCAATAGCTTACCACAAGAAGAAGTCTACCCAAGGCAAGGAAACTCTTGTGAAGTCTTCTGTTCTAAAGTTATTACATGAAAAGAACTGCTGCCCAACATAGGGGGACACCGTTGCTATTTCCTCAGGAAAAGTCTTTGCTCTTTAACTACCCAAGCTGTCGCCTTTCTTGAAGGTTCGGCTCGACTGAAGGAGACTCTTTGCAAGTCTCTATGGCTAAGTTCACACTAGCTTTGTTAGCAGGCATTAGACAGATGTTTGGGAAGCATTTTACACATGGCAGCACACAGTGCTATTCACTCTGAAGAGTCAGTGTCACATCGCGGCAAAATTGACGCCTCATATCCAGTCAGGAGGAGTTGAAGCCTTCCATTCAAGTCTATGGTGATGCTCCTCAAATGCCTGACAGGCGTTTGCGGGGCGCTTGCAAGGTGATTGTTAGGCGATTGTGAGGCATTTGCGGAGCGTTAATACCATTAAACTTCATTATAGGCATCTGTGGTGCGGTTTTAACGCTTGATAAAAGCCTATCAATAGCCCCAAAAACGCGCATAGGGTGTCTGGGGAGCTTTTGAGGAGTGTTAAAAATGCTTCCCAAACACCTGTCTAACGCCTGTCAAACGCTATAGGGGTGTTTGGCAAGAGTTAAAATTAGTCAAGTGTGAACAAGCTCTATGTTCTACTCTGCAGAGGAAGGATCCCTTGACAAGGTTCAACAACGGCTGTGGATTCTTAAGACAAGAGTTTGTGCTCCTGACGCATCAGGGTGGGTGTTACTTCAAGTCTCAGTTGTGATAAGCTCTGTATCATCTACTTTGGGTTTATGGACTACTTATGGGTTCATGGACTACTGCTGCTCTGTTGCTAAATGACCCTGGCTAGGGAATTCAACTACATAGTGGATCTTGTACATAGGTGGATATTTAGTTTAAAGCAGCAACTAACAATTATAATCAATTAGTTGGCCGACTATTGTTTCAATTAATCAATTAATCAGATAAAATCATCAAAAAAGTGTGGTGTATAATGACTCTGACTATCTCTCCTATCATGTCCACAATCTTTGGCTGTCTCTTGTATCATATCTGCAGTCTCTGGTCATCTCTAGTATCATGCCTGCAATGTTTGACTATCTCTTGTATCATGTCCACAATCTCTGGCCATCTCTTGTATCATGTCTGCGCAGTCTTTGAGGGGGAGCCTGGAGAGGAGTCAAGAGCAAGAGCACCACTGGGATGGGGGGGTCACAGGAGGCAGACGGGTGTGAACTGTGGAGAGGAGAATATGGGTTGAAACCAATCCCACCAAGTTGGAGCCCTGAGAGGACCATCTGACTGAACCCTTCACAGTGCACAAAAGGGGAATGTCAGTGACAGCGCCGCCAAGCTAGTCTGAGGGGGGGGGGGACCACAGTAAGGTAAGGGGGGACACTAATATAAAAGTTCCCCTTATATCAGTAACCCGCCCCCCTTACCTTAGTGTATGCACTCTGCGGAAGGGTCACCAGAGTCCCCCCCCCCCCACATCAGAGATCCCAGCATTCCTCCTTAAATCAATATTCTCAGAGTTCCCCTTTACATAAGAGTCTGCAGGCTCCCCCCTTACAGTGCAACGGGGAACTCTGTAGACCCTAATGTAAGGGGCAATGCTACAGACCCTGATGTAAGTGGGAACTCTGATGTAAAAGGGATTGCTGTGGACTGTGATGTAAGGGGGGGCTCTGGTGATCAGAGACCAGACCAGAGCATTTTCCCTCACATAATTATCCACAGAGTTTCCCTTTAAATCAGAGTTTCCCTTTAATTCAGGGTCTGCAAAGTCCCCACTTACACAGTAAGGGGTAATCCTCCTGCAGACTCTGATGTAAGGGGCAACTCTTTGCTAAGTTGTCTTAACCTGACCTTCATGTAAATGGAGAAAAAATTTTTTTTTTGGCCTTTTGATATACTCTAAACACATTGCTAATCACACTAGCTACATGTTTTTAGCTTAACTATCGATATTTGCACTGGTTTGCAGTGAAAAAATGGTCACTTTATGTGCTTTTGTGAAGTGTCAGTAAAAAAATTGGCTCTGTCAGCAAATTTTATGAGTTTTTCTAGTAAAAAAAACTTTGTGCTGTCAGTATATTGTTGGGATCTTGTCTGTAAATTTCACTTTGGGAGGTTAGTAACGCTGTAGGCAGGTAACTTGATACAAAAGCTACCTGTACCTGCTGTCACGAAGACATATATAAGCAGCAGCATGATTTTTGCATCAGCTGTCATGACAGGGTTAAAAAAAAACTAGCCATTTATAGTTCAAAAACTGCAGATAATCACTACTATAAGAGTATATACCCGAAAGTAGGATATACAGGATATTTTAACTGGGAGTCAGATATGAAGCTATATGAAGGGTGGAGGGGGGGGTATTAATATTTTATATTAACTGCTTCCCGTCTGCCCTATAGCAAAAGTACTGCTACAGGGCAGCACGGTTTTGCAAAATCACGTATATATACGTGATTTTGCATTTGCGGGTAGGGGGGGAGCGTGCCCTACCCGCGCTGCCATTAGCGGCCTCGGCTGTCAATCACCGGGTCCTGTCTGGTAATTACTCGCCGGCGCCCAGTGAGGTGCGGAGCATCTCTGATGGGGGGGAGAACTGTTTGTAAACAAAACAGTTCTCTCCCCTGTCAGCTCTTGCACACTGCTTTGCATGGCTGTGCATAGCACAGCCATGCAAAGCAGTGTGCTTACAGTGAAGCACAAACACACAATCCCACAATAAAACAGCACACGGTTAACCCTTTGATCGCCCCACATGTTAACCCCTTCCTGCCCAGTGCCATTAGTACAGTGTCAGTGATTTTTATTAGCACTGATCACTGTATTGGTGTCACTGGGGATGTCAGTCAGTTCTCCCCAGTGTCAGAATGCCACCGCAGTCCCGCAATAAGTCGCTGATCGCTGCCATTACTAGTAAAATTAAAAACAAAATTCCAGTATATATACCGCCATCTGAAAACGCTATAACTTTTCCGTAAACTGATTCATTTACATGTATTGGGATTTTTTTTTAGCAAAGACATGTAGCCGAATACATTTTGGCCTAAATTTACGACTAAATTTGATTTTTAAATTTTTTTACTGGACATGTTTTATAGCAAAAAGTAAAAAATATTGTGTTTTCCTCAAAAATTGTTGGTCTATTTTTTTGTAATAGCACAAAATATAAAAAAAGCAGAGGCAATCAAATACCACCGAAAGAAAGCTCTATTTGTGGGGAAAAAAGGATGTAAATTTCATTTGGGTGCAGCGTTGCATGACCTTGCAATTGTCAGTTAAAGTAACGCAGCGCTGTAATGCAAAAAAATGGCCTGGTCAGGAAGGGGGGTAAATCCTCTGGAGGGCAAGTTGTTAAAGTAATACTAAGGGCTAAGTCTTTTTTGCACGGACATAATCATTTTAAATATAATGCACAATACTGGTAAACTTATCATTTCAATTTCATTGTAATGCCTTGCATTTTGCATGGAATGTGTCAGATGTATTTATTTATTTCAGGTACTTATATAGCACTGTCAATTTATACAGTGCTTTACACACATCTATATTGTACATACACATCAGTCCCTAACCCTCAAGGGGTGTACAATCTAAGGTCCCTAACTCACATTCATACATATACACATATTAGGGACAATTTAGACAGAATCCAATTAACCTACCAGCATGTCTTTGGAGTGTGGGAGGAAACCAGAGGAAACCCACGCAAGCACAGGGAGAACATGCAAACTCCATGCAGGAGGCGCCATGTTCAGGAATCAAACCCATGACCCATTTACTGCAAGGCAGACGTGCTAACCACTAAGCCTTTTGCTTCTCCACCTTTTTTGTGTCATACCAATACAAACAAAAGAAGTAAACATGAGAATGCCAAAACATTTGTAATTGCAATACTTTTCTGGGAGAAGTGGTGCATTATCTGGCAGAAATGCAGGGTACCAATATTCTTGGCCATGACTGTATAGTGGGATTTGCAATTCTTTAGACTTGTATTGGCGTGTAGAACCTGCTTGAAGCAAACAGCCTGTCTACACAGGCTCTTACCCAAACTTTCCCCATTCCATGCAGAGGAAGGCACAGTTTCCATACCTTTTACATGCCTCACAAAATGTGTAGAGACACTGCTAGCGTGTGCGCTGGTTTAGCGTTGGTTTAGGACTATCTTTAGAAGGTGTCAACTGCCCAAGGTTCTTACTTTGCTTTGTTGTACATGTACTGGGTGCTTTCAATGAAACCATGAGAGGTACAAAGAGCTGAATGCTGCGTACAAGATACAGTGAGCTCTGATTGGTTTTCTATGAGTTACGGCACTTTGCACATGTCTATTTTAATTGATATATAGCATATTCTGCATTGCCAAGATTCAGTATATGCAACTTTTATGAATTCTAATCCTCTTAAGTGTGAGTTACATTGAATCATTTCAGAGAATATTGGTGTATTTTCTCAGAGATGCAATTCAGCAGGATTGCTATTGAATATTTAAATAACATATAATAAAAGGTGTCCTCCAGATTCTAGTCAGGCAACATATGACCACTTTATAAGCACTTTCCTATAACCCCCCCCACCACCACCACCATAAGAGGGAACTGCCAATATGTATGAGAAGAAACCTCTGATGCAGCCAGCTTGACCAGAAAAAAACTGGTCAGGTTTCATTTCAATCTCTCTGCATCCCTAGCACTTTCAGAAGCCCCCTCTAACCTTCCTCAAAGACCAGACCAGAAAGACATCATGGACACATGGGAATACAAGTGCCTTATATGACTCTGGAATGGAACAATGAATGGAGAACAGGGGGGGGGGACTGACCATTAGGAAACTCGGGCACTGCCCAAGGGCCCGGGGTCAGTAGGGGGGCCCCATGAGATGCCTCTGGTACCTTTTTCATAGACTTTTTTGAGTTTGGGCAAGGACACAGGGGCCCCATGATCCCCTATTGCCCGGGGGCCCCATGAGTTGTCAGTCCACCCCTGCTGGAGAGGATGGTTAAGTATTCTTTTTATCCTTTTATGCAATGGTTGTTCTCTTGGTGTCTCCATGAAGTGTAATGAAGTATTCACACTACATGGTGTACATTCTGGCATCTGAAACAATACCTGATTACTTACCGAGGAATACTGATCTATGCTCTAATACAGGGCTCCTCAAACTTTTTAAACAGGGAGCCAGTTCACGGACCTTCACACTGTTGGGGGGCCAAACTATAGTTTGAAAAAAATATGAATAAATTCCTATGCACACCGCACATATTGTATTTGTAGTGCAAAAAAAAAAGGAAAAAAACAATACAATATTTAAAATACACTGTTCTCTGTAATGCACTTAACACTGCAATGCACTGTACATTGTAATGCACTGGACACCACAATGCACTGTACATTGTAACACACTGACACCACAATGCACTGTACATTGTAACACACTGGACACCACAATGCACTGTACATTGTAACGCACTGGACACCACAATGCACTGTACATTGTAACGCACTGGACACCACAATGCACTGTACATTGTAACGCACTGGACACCGCAATGCACTGTACATTGTAACGCACTGGACACCGCAATGCACTGTACATTGTAACGCACTGGACACCACAATGCACTGTACATTGTAACGCACTGGACACCGCAATGCACTGTACTCTGTAATGATCTGGACACTGCCATGCACTGTACACTGTAACGCAGTTGGCACCGCCATGCACTGTACACTGAAAGGCACTGGACACCGCAATGCACTGTACTCTAATGATCTGGACACTGCCATGCACTGTACACTGTAACGCACTTAGCACCACCATGCACTGTACACTTTAACGCACTGGACACTGCAATGCACTGTACACTGTAATGCTCTGGACACTGCCATGCACTGTACACTGTAACGCACTGGACACCGCAATGCACTGTACACTGTAATGCTCTGGATACCGCAATACACTGTACTCTGTAATGCTCTGGACACCGCAATGCACTGTACACTGTAATGCATTGGACACAGTAATGCATTGTACTCTGTAACGCATTGGACAATGATACACTGGACACCGCAATGCACTGTACTTGGTGCCTAGTATGCTCTCCTCCTGTCTTGTTGCTCCTCTGGCTGCAGCAGGTGAAATCCTGGGCTTGCAGGCTTCTGCTCGCTGGGTCCTCGTGGCCGAGGACCCAGCAAGCAGCCTAGCTATTTTCCGGCAGGCCGGATAAACATCTTTGGCGGGCCATGTCTGGCCTGCGGACCATAGTTTGAAGACCCCTGCTTTAATATAACGACTTACGCCTAAGATTGTGGAGGACTCATCTTACTATAATATACAGATGCATTGAATTAAATAAATTTCAAGTGACACACACACACACTACAGTATATTGCCAAAAGTATTGTGGGACCCCCCTCCAAATCATTGGATTCAGGTGTTCCAATCACCTCCATGGACACAGGTGTAAAAAAACAAGCCCCTAGGCATGCAGACTGCTGCTACAACCATTTGTGAAAGAATGGGTCGCTCTCAGGAGCTCAGTGAATTCAAGCATGGTACCGTGATAGGTTGCCACCTGTGCAATAAGTCCACCTGTGAAATTTCCTTGCTGTAAATATTCCATGGGCAACTGTTAGTGGTATTATAACAAAGTGGAAGCAACTGGGAACAGTAACTCAGCCACGAAGTGGTAGGCCACGTAACATGACAGAGCAGGGTCAGTGCATGCTGAAGCGTACAGTTATAAAGTATTTTCAATGTGGCAGCTCGTAAACTGAGGAAGTCACGTGATGTGATGTAACGCATAGAGTGGGCCAATGACATCAAGCTGTTAAACAGGAAGTTTACGAGCCGCCATCTTGTAAATTCCTGAACACATTGAAAACGCATTATAACAAGGTTTTTACTGTGGTGTCCCAGCAGGAAACTTTTAAATGTGAGTGTACTTTGTTTTTTTTAATAAATCACACTATATTTATATACTACACTATGGCAAGCATTTCTGTTTACATATGCAGAGAATTTGTGGGATAAAGAGGAGACGGGACCATTTGCAGCAGAGTGATGAGGAAAGTGGAGTCATCTACGCAGTATGCCTACCCGGGTTAAAAGGGAAAGGCAGTATTTGACCTCTGCAATTTGGGTCATAAAAGGAGGTGAGAGTATATATGTATGTCTCTGGTGGATGAGCACCTATAGGAATATATGTGGATATAAGCAATAAAGAGCACCTATTTGGGAACAAATTATAAACGCATGGATCAAGCACACATTATGGACTTTTAAGTTGTATTCAGTGTATTCACTATTGATGTATAATCACATGGTTTGGATGCTTCAATTCATATATCAGGTTATAGAGATATATGCGTGGCACTATTTTATGATATATCTTTTGTGTGTGGAAACGCATGTAAGTGTCAGCAGCACTGGTATACACAGGAATTTAAGGAGTTATTTGTTGCGCTGAAGTTTTATTTGTGCACTGAAGTCACCAACTGTCTGCAGAGTCAATAACTAAAGACCTCCAAACTTGGTGTGACCTTCAAATTAGCACAACAAAAGTGTGTAGAGAGCTTCATGAAATAGGTTTCCATGGCCGAGCAGCTGCATCCAAGCCTTACATCACCAAGTGCAATGCAAAGTGTTGGATGCAGTGGTGTAAAGCATGCCACCACTGGACTCTAGAGTAGTGGAGGCATGTTCTTTAGAGTGATGAATCACGCTTCTCTGTCTGGAAATCCTATGGATGTGTCTGGGTGTGGCAGTGTAAATTTTGGTGGAGGGGGTATTATGGTGTGGGGTTGTTTTTCAGGGGTTGGGCTTGGCGCCCTAGTTCCAGTGAAGGGAACTCTTAAGGCATCAGCATACCAAGACATTTTGGACAATTTCATGCTCCCAACTTTGTGTGAATAGTTTGGGGATGGCCCCTTCCTGTTCCAACATGAATGCACACCATTGCACAAAGCAAGGTCCATATAGACATGGATGAGCGAGTTTGGGGTGGAGGAACTTGACTGACCAGCACAGAGTCCTGACCTAAACCCGATAGAACACCTTTGGGATGAAGCAGAGCGGAGACTGCTAGCCAGGCCTTCTTGTCCGACATCAGTGCCTGACCTCACAAATGCGCTTCAGGAAGATTCCCATAGACACGACACACTCTTAAATCTTGTGGACAGTCTTCCCAGACGAGTTGAAGCTGTTATATCTGCAAAGGGTTGGCCAACTCAATAGTGAACCCTATGGACTAAGAATAGGATGCCATTAAAGTTCATGTATGTATAAAGGCAGGCGTCCCAATTCTTTTGGCAATATAGTGTATGTGTGTATATATATATATATATATATATATATATATATATATATATGTGTGTGTGTGTGTGTGTGTGTGTGTGTGAAACCATGGAGTCCTATTAAACCTGAAACTTGAGTCTTTCAGTATCTTTCCTTTTTAGCTACAGTCTATATACCATAGAGGATTCAGGCTAAATGCATTAAATCTATGATGGTGAATCTATGCTACCACATGTACAACAATGTCCAATATAAATCCATCCATGAAGAGCTCATGTGATGATGGTGGTTCATTGAGTCTGAAATCTAGCCTTGTAGTACTTTTAGTACTTTTCCATATAGCTATCATATCATGGAGGACTATGGGACTGTACAAACCATCTTTGTATTATATAATATACTTTGGATTGCTTTTTTTCAATGCAATAATATAATCAAGTATATTCAATAATATAATATCCTTTGCGAAGGTATACAGTACAAACCACCCATATATGCATATAAGTTCACGTGAATCATAACCGGGGACTTGTAGTTTTTTTTTTCTCATACTATGGTACATTGGAGCTACATGTCTCCAGTGATACAACCCCTGTTTCATATATTTTGTATGGAACTGTGTACACATTTTCTCTCTGTTATATATGTAGCACTACCCCCTTAGGAGTTGCTGAAGTTTTGAGTCCCCCTGTAGTCCTGCACAGCCAGGCAACACATATACACTGTTTTCCACACAGACTTGCATCCAGGAGTCAGTAACCAGTCCCTGAGCTTGTTTTTTTTTTTGGATTTTATTAGGGGATTTTGAACTTGGATGGGGTAAGGGTGTATGAGTTGCCCAAGGGAATGGTAACTGAGGACAATCCTCCTGGGACTATCTATATACAAGTCTTTTTAACAGCAAAATTTTCTTCTAAGAGAGCTAGCCAACATTTTCTGGTGTACCACACCAGACTGCAGATACTCCTCTATCCAGCTGTCTTAAGGATTCCCTGGGCCAGGGATCCAGTATTTGTCACTTTCAATTGCAAGACAGTGCCAGGTAGCAAGCTAATCCAGTTTCCCACTAGAGTGGTCCCTCCCCTTTCTGGCCCAGGCTGTGTAAGTCTTCTCATTCAGTCCTCTGTCTGTGAACTGAAGGGTCGGTGGCTGCTCTCAGGCCTTCTGATGGGCCGCTCCTTCCCTTCTGCACAGATGGTCCTCGCTCTGGGGGCTGATGAGGTCCCAAGCTTTCCTCTGTAGAGGTAACCTGGTGAGGACCGCTATGTAGTGGGTATCCCTAAGCATCTCTCTGCACAGCCAAGCAACAGGTATTTCTCATACAGACTTGCATCCAAAGGCAATGACCAATCCATGGGCTTGGTTTTGTTGTTTTATTAGGATGGGGGTCTCCAAACTTTCTTAACAAAGGACCAGTTTACTATTCTTCAGACTTTAGGGGGGGCCTGAAATTTGTGTGAATGGGAGGAATAGTACCCCGTCATTGGTAGTGGGAGAAATCACGTCCCATCATTTGCTTCAGTAGGAGGAATAATGCCCAGTCATCAGTGCCAGTGGGCGGAATAGCGCCCCATTATTGGTCACAGTGGGAGGCAAAGTACCCCATTATTGGTGTCAGGGGGAGGAATAATGTCTCATATCAGTGGGAGGAACAGTGCCTCTTAGGAGTTGGTGAAGTTTTGAGTCCCCCTGTAGTCCTGCACAGCCAGGCAACACACATTTTCCACACAGACTTGCATCCAGGAGACAGTAACCAGTCTATGAGTTTGGTTTTTTTTTTTTGGATTTTATTAGGGGATTTCAAACTTGGATGGAGTAAAAGGTGTATGGGATGCCCACGGAAGTCTCTTTAAGAGCAACATTATTTTCTAGGAGAGCTATCCAACATCTCCTTGTGTACCACGCCAGACTCTAGATACGCCTCTATCCAGCTGTCTGAAGGATTCTGTTGGCAGGGGATCCCGCGCCTGTCACTTTAAATTGCAAGACAGTCCCGGGTTGCAAGCTAAACCAGCTTCCTATTAGAGTGCTCCTTTCTGGCCTTCTGGCCCAGGGGGTGTAGGTCTACTCATTCAGTCCTCTGTCTGTGAGCTGATGGATCGGTGGCTGCTCTCAGGGCTTTTGCTGAACTGCTCCTTCCCTGCTGCACAGATGGTCCTCGCACTGGATGCCAATGAGGTCCTCAACTTTCATCCTTTCCAGCTCCTCTGCCTGTAGGTGAGCCCCTTCCCATCTTGGCCCCCTCCCAGGCTCCTGTCTCCAGCCTCTCACTTCCTCTGCCATCCGAACTCTTCCACTGCTTAGCAGGCTTTCTCACATTTAAGGGATGCCCTGGCCCCATGCCAAGCCTCCTGCTTGGGGATTGGCCAGGGTCCCCTAAGTGTGCAGGTCAGCCCCTTCTCACCCCTGCCCACTGCTTCTAAAATTGTCTCCAAGATCTCTAGAGCATCAAGGAACTGATCTGCAGAGCCTCTCAGCCCTGACCTGAAATAACCCTCTGTCTCAGCCCAGGCTGCTATTCAGCCTTCCTAGTTGAAAAAAAAAAAAACCTATCTAGCTGCCCCTAGCTAACTAGAGGGATGCTACATATAGACCCTTATTGGGCTACACATTACTGAGAAATCTGTTATCTGTGTTTTGGATATTGGTTTTTGTCTCTTAACGTTATATAGAGGATATATTTTGTCCTTGAGGGGTGCTTACTTCTGCAGCTGCTGCTGGGTTCTCCTTGTTTTGTTTTTTTTAATACTTGGCCAATTGTTTTATCAGGTATTGTGGCTAGGATAGATTTTGTCTAGTGCTATTTGATATCAAAAGGTTTACATTTGTATAATCACTGTGCCGAGTGGTCCCCTGGGTCATGTCTAATATGGGTTTTGGCAATATTTATATTTAACAAGAGAGGTTTTTTTTTTTCTTCTTGGATTGCTATTGAACTATTAAGGACTAATTACAAATAACATAATCTGTTCATTCTTGATCCTGGGAAATTAAGTAAACTGTACTATAAATTAGCAGCCAAGCATGTGATTATTAAGCAATAGACATCCCTATCCTTGAACTGAGCTACTTGCACTTTTTTTGGTATATATTCTGTATTACTAGAATATGTGCATAGGTAAACCTTTTCTAGCCAAACAGTTTCATGTGTGAATTCAAACACCTATAGGGTGTGACACATCAAATTATTTCAGAGGGTCTTGGTTTTTTCCCAGTGATACATTTACATTTTGAATTGGTATTAGACTATTAAGAACCCATTCCAAATAACATGATTTGTCATTCTTGATCCTTAGGGAAAGTGAACTGTACAGCAGGTTAGCAAACAGGCATGTGATTATTAGGCAATAGACAGCTCAATCTGTAATGGAATATATTAAGCCCCTATTTATTCTGTGAGGGGCAGAGCACATAACTGGTTTGTAGCCTGACAACATTGTGCTTTGGGCATGCTATCAATAAGAAAAAATCCCAAAACAGCTTTGGAAAATGCTTTGGATAGTGCATGAAAACATATATTTTGTGAGGACTCTTCAACTCTAATTTCAACCGAATTGGTCTTTACAGTGGAGTTTTGGATAGAAAGGGTAGAATGGTATACGTGTGTAGGGTCGTGCAGTCTCTTTTCTCTACTGCAGGTGGCGCTAAACCACAGCAGTACTGCAGAGGGAGAGAAGGTCATGAGAAACATATTCCTCTATGTCTTCCTGGGTTCCTGGAGAAGTGATCTGGTTGAATGCTGCCACCCTATGTGACTCTGGCAGCCATCTTGGGTCAGGCAGAGTCTATTTAAGACCCTGGGTCCTGGGCTTGCTGCACATTTTGCAAGTGGACAGGGTAGGGACAGGTTACCCATCTGTCAGGTAAAGTAAATGACGGTAAAGTAAATGACGGGAAAGGTTCCAGAGTGGGATCAGGATAGGGACACGCTATCCTTCCTAGGAATCAGGGGCGGACTGACCATTTGGAAACTCGGGCACTGCCCGAGGGCCTGGGGTCAGTAGGGGGCCCCATGAGATGCCCCTGGTACCTTTTTCATAGGCTTTTTTGAGTTTGGGCAAGGACACAGGGGCCCCATGATCCCCTATTGCCCAGGGGGCCCCATGAGTTGTCAGTCCGCCCCTGCTAGGAAACCTCCCATATTGGGCTCAGACTGACCAGGTTGCATTCCAACCTCGGAGACAGATGCTGTCGGTGCATCAGAACCTAGTCTGCTCTACATTTTTGGCACAGAACTGTGAGTGTTACCAGCCAGAAGCCTTCCAGCTGGGCTGTTTGTATCTTTGAACTGTTCCTTTAAGTTAACTGCAAACCCATAATGTGTTTATTATTTATTTTTTAATTTGTTCATCAGTGTAGTGGTTTTTAACCATTAGATGGCTCCCTGGCATTTTAGTTCTTCGATCATCCAATGCCATTAATTTGGAATATCTAATGATTTATTTAATTACTAGATCTAATTATGGTGTCATACCTCTTAGTTTCATGAATCATTAATTGGCTGTTTTCGATGTTGATACGGTATTTTTTATCAATCAAACAACTAATTCTTGATTCTAAATTTAGTAACGATAGAAAGACTTGAATCGCACTGTTTTCCATTTTTTATAATAGCCTTTTACTTCCGGATGTGTTTTTTCCTTCTGTTTTCTGTAATATCCTGAAATATCCTGAAGTTGGTTTATTCCAGATTGAGGCTTGGTTTTGGTCTATATTAACACGGTGACAGAGGGCCTCGGAAGATGTCTGTTTATGACAAAACGGGTGGAGCCTCCCTTCTGACGTCATCGTGTTGTCCAACATCTTGGAACACCCATATGTAAAGATTGATGCCTGTATCTTCAGCACTGTTGTAAGTGCAATCTTGTTTGTTTCAATTAAGTAATTGATTTTACTGCACTATGAGAGGCACCTCTGTATTGTTTTTTATGAGCCAACCTGATCCTTACTATTAGAATGGCTTGACTGTATCGGAGCAGAGCACCGGTTCTATTATAGTTTATCTGTCCGGATGGATTCATATACACACTGAGCCCAATTCGACCTCCTATAATTAAGGGGTCTGAGAATCCGGTAAGCCTTTGACCTGCTAACATGGTGGTAGCCAGTCGCATTGGTGATTTTTGGATGGAATGAAGAATACTCACCATTGCTTGTTAATTCAAGAAATTGTCTTGCACTCACAAGGATTTTTTTTGATTGTTCTTTGCATATGTGGACTTTGAGCACTATAGGGTCCCTCAACGACTGTTGTCACTTGTGTGTTTAGAGCACTTTATTGTGTATTTATTAACATTTTTTGTTTATATTTGTTCACTCTTAGCACAACACTGATTTTTATATGATAACCAGACTGTGTTCTCAGCCACAGCACCATGCTGCACACACCCACGTGTGCTACCTTCACCACAGATATCAGTACAGTGCTCCATATTTTACATGGCGCCTGCCTGTACACCACATCATATGACTGTTATAATGATGCCACCCCATCACTTTCACATATCAAGCTACATTTTATTGCAATTTCCAGCATTATTTTGGTACAAATCAAATCATATGTTTTTCTGATGTGGCGTTAAGTGTAGCAATCACCCTTATCCTGCTTTGTGATCTTGGATGCAGAAGTTCTGGGGTGATAAGCAGTGCAGGCTATGACTAACACCGATAAGAACCCAAAGTCATTCCGATATACTTGCCAGCTGTCACCGATTTACCAATTTATGTTACACCATGCACCACCTCATTGTTTTTTTCTTTTTTTTTCCACTATTTGGTACAGCTGTATGCTCCACCTTATAGGTGATTTATTTCTGTACATATTTCCTCCTACCAACAAACATGTCTACACAGTTATTTCACGTGTTTACACATCTTCCCACAATCTGGTACATGGCATATTTCACTCTTCAGTTCTGTTTATCTTAGCTAATGGCGTTAATGATTTTAAGTCCTAATGTTCTGTTATTAAAACTGCTTAGCTTGTCTTGGTTGCTCTTTGAAAAGATTAAGATAAAAGGTTTCTCTTTAGTAAGAGGCCTCCAAGCATGCATGGGAAACAACACTAAGGGACAATTAAAGAATGTGTGAGCGGCTGGCTATTTATCACGTGTAAATCCTGAAGTTGATATTTTTTTTTTCAGGGTCTAATCACATTAAGGCCATTTTAGTCTGCTTTTTTTCGCAACTGGCTCTGGGTTAGCGACTCAGAAAGCTAAAGTAAATGTAAAGCTTTTTGTTTTGTCTCAAAATAATGAACATGCTGTACTTCCCTGTTCTGTGTAATGATTTTGTACAGAGTGACCTTAAACCTTATCTTCTAAGGTCCCCTGCTGCCAGTTTTGGTTCCTCCTCTTCTAACCACTTTCTATGGGGGCACTTGTGCAGGTTAAATCCCAAGCCGGGCTGTGTGCGCCTACAGACACATGCAGTGTGGCTTTTACACGTCCCCCCACTTCCTCCTCACAGGATTTGACTGACAACAGGAGGAACCACTGGCTACCACTGTGTCTGAGTATGCTGTGAAAAGAGAGAGAGAGCAGGGAGAAGAGCTGGTGCAGAAGGGCACAGCGCTGGATCGAGTGCAGGCTCAGGTAAAGGTTTAAAGGGGGGTCGGAGGGAGCAACATGTGAGTGGGGCAGTAAGAAACTGCACTCGGCAATGCCTAAACATTAGGTAGGAGTTTGCTGTCATGTGAAATCAACATTAAGACACAACTCCAGACTTAGAAGCGGGCAGCAACTCACACGTCAATTCTTTGTAATCCTTGGTTGAGTTTAGGGTCCATGCACAACTGGCTAAAAAAAAAAGGCCAGTGCTCTTGACAGGGGCGTCCCTAGGGTTGGTGTCACCCGGTGCAATAACACTTGGTGACACCTCCTCCGACGATCCCCACAGAATGGATCGGATCTGCGGATTGAGCATAATGGATCATGGGCTTTCTTTACAATTTACCTTTTCGTGGAGGGCGTCCGGTGTCACCCCGTATAGGTTGCATGCCGACGATTCCCGCAGAATGGATCGGATCTGCAGATTGAGCATAATGGATCATGGGCTTTCTTCACAACTTACCTTTTCGTGGAGCGGGTCCGGTGTCACCCCGTATAGGTTGCATGCCGGTGATGATCCCTGCAGAATGGATTGGATCTGCAGATTGAACATAATGGATAGGAGTCCGATCCATTATGCTCCCCAATCCGCAGATCTGATCCATCATGCGGGGATCGAGCGGGTCGTTCCATGAAAAGGTAAGTTGTAAAGAAAGCTGACGAGTCCTGAAGGATGAATCTGATCCATCCTGCGGGGATTGTCGGCTTGCTTTACAACTTACCTTTTCTAGGAGCGGGTCCGGTGTCACCCCGTTTAGGTTGCATGCCGACGATCCCCGCAGAATGGATCGGATCTGCAGATTGAACATAATGGATAGGAGTCCGATCCATTATGCTCCCCAATCCGCAGATCTGATCCATCATGCGGGGATCGAGCGGGTCGCTCCACGAAAAGGTAAGTTGTAAAGAAAGCTGACGATCCCTGAAGGATGAATCTGATCCATCCTGCGGGGATCGTCGGCTTACCTTTTCGTGGAGCGGGTCTGGTGTCACCCCGTGCGGTAGGTGTCACCTGGTGCAGCGTGCACCCCCCTCACGTGTCTCAGGATGCCTCTGGCTCTTGACAGAAAAAAACAATCATTTTGAGTATTTTTTTTTACAAATGTTTAGGTGTGTTTAGCAATTCTTTCTGCCAGAAAACTGCTCTCAAAAACACACAAAAGAAGGGTTTTTTTTTCTACCACTAAATGCTGAGCTTAAAATATGCCCCTAAACATCCTAATGTGCATAGACACAGAGGATAACATTAGCTGCTTCTACAGGCAAAATGCTAAATTCCTGCAGAAGCAGCATTTTCTAAATCAGTGTGTATGGACCCTTACACTGATGGCACTTGAACCCTTCAGGCCCCATTCCCACTATGGCATTTTGAAAAGCAATCTGCGGTGGGTTGCCTTTCAAAGGCATTTGACAGGTGATAAGAAGGCGATGTGTCACCCCCTAGGTGCCTGTTTTAAGTAGTCTGTAAATGGGCAGCACTGCAGCCACATGCACTTCATACGGCTGTGGCCCCATTCACTTAAATGGGTCATGTTCTCTGGTGGTACTGCATAACGAACGTAGCAAGGGGTAAAATTTTTGCTGCACCGTGTGTACATCCCTTCCCAGTTGCCTTTGCAGCTTAAGGGTGGAGTTAAAAATCTGGCTTAACTACATTTCTTTACTGCCCTCTGACTACAACTGTAAATAAGCCTTAAGGGCCAGTTCACATGTATGTGGTCTGGCACATTTTTATGCGCGTTTTACATACATCTATGTGTTTTCATTAAAATGTGCATTGTAATAGAGTTCAATGTTAGTGCTGCTAAAAATGCATGTCAAAATCGTATAAAAACAATCCGTGACAAAAAACGCACCGCACACATGTGAACCAGTCCTAAGGCTATGTTCACACTGATCTATGGCAAAAATGCGACAAAAGCGCATATGCATTAGCATCGTGTTTTTGCGTTTTATAAAAGACATGTGACTCAAAAACACAATGCAGGTGCATTTTGATGTGTTTTCCATTGATTTTTCAATGGGGAGGTGCGTTTTTGGTGCATTTTTTTTTTACCACACCAAACCTGCACTACAAATGCAGCAAGCAGGACTTTGAAAAGCATATCAGAAAGGGATCATTGTGAAGAGTTCCATAGGAATACATGGTCATGCGGTTTTCTTATGCTTTTTTTTTTTTTTTTTTAAACGGATCATTGTGAAAGCAGCTTAACTCCTTTTATTTTTTACAACACTGCAAAAACTGTTCCTATATAATAATAATAATAATACAGCCAATGTAATAACAAGCCCACAGCTTAAAAAATGCAGCTTAACTGCCATTTTTACTGCCCTTTACTTCCCTTTGACTGCAGCTGTAAAAAAAAGTCTTAAGGGCCCATTCACATGTGTGTGGTCTGGCACTTTTTTATGCAAGTTTTACATGCAACTACAGCCAGGCTAACATTAAACTCTACTAGAACATGCGTTTTGACGAAAGTGCTTCAAAATCCTGC